CCGCGGGGATGGGGTCGGGCTCGGCGTAGTCCATGTAGATGTTGGTCGGGGAGAAGTGTGCCTTGAGGAAGGTGACCACGGCCGGCTCCTCCCAGGCATGGACCCCCCGCTCCTCCTTGTGGCACTGGGGACACAGGTCCGGCGGAGGCCACTGCAGCTTGGGGAACTTGGGGTCCTCCGTGTCACCTCCTGCAGGGACCGGGGGTGAGACAGGACATGTGATGCACCCTCCTCCTGTATCAACACCCCGGAGGATCCAGCAGCTGGGGATGGGGACATTTGGAGGAGCCTCCTCGGGAGGAGGGGTTCTCTGAGGGCAAACAGCAGCTTTGGGAAGCTCCCTTTAAGGAGCATGTAAGATCCAACTGTATCTCTGGGGCCACCTGATGCTGCATGACCAGCTGCTGTCCCCTGGGATGGGGGACAATAACAGCGGGATGTCCCCACTGCTACACCCTGCAGCCATTTGTCAGACCCATCCAGGAGGAGGGATGGGATGTTCCTCCAGCTCAGCTCCCCTGCTGGCAGCCCCCCTTACCTGCCAGGCGAGCGTTGACCTCGTTGTGGTGTGACCAGAGCCAGAGGATGGCCTCCTCCCTGCTGGCCACCCTGTCCATGGACTGGGCTGCCATGGCCTCAAAGTGCTCGGCGCACTCCTGGCAGCCGAAGAAGTGCCGGACATAGCAGCGCATGGTGCTCAGCACCTCCAGGGGTAACTCTGGGGGAGCAGAGCACAGGGGTGAGCCTGGACCCCTCTGTGCCACCAGCACAGTCCCACAGCTGAGGCAGCAACCCCACACCCCAATTCTCTGTCTTGTCCCCCCATGGAAACTGCCCCTGGATGAGATGAAGCAGGGGTTGTAAACAAGCCTTTGTCCTCATGCAGCATCCCTGCCCGTGCCAGAGCTCAGCTGGACACTCCCTCCCTGAGCCCCTGATCCCCCAGGGACTGCAGTACCTTTGTCAGGGCCGTTCTGGGCAGCCTGCACAGTCAGCAGGTGGAAGATGGTCCAGAGCCCACAGGGGTAGCCACGGAAGTGGCGCTCACTGCCCTGGCAGCCCACCCAGGTCACGTTGGTGGGGAGCACCGAGGGGTGGGAGGCCTGGTGGACAGATGGACACGGTGTGATGGGGCTGGCAGGCAGTGCCAGCTGGGGGGAAAGGGGCAGAGGTAAGGAGAGCAGGGGCTGGGGGTTCCCATGGGCATCTTACATCTCTGTTATTCTTCATGGCCTCCTTCAGAACTGTGCGGGGCAGCTCGGGCTCTGTCCAGTTCCTCAGCCAGGCATCCAGAGTCTGCAGGTAGGTCTGCACGCAGGGGCGCCCTGGGAAGTACTGCAGAGGGGGGACAGGGCTGAGAAAACACAGATTTCATCCTGGGAGCAACAGGGCAGCACCAGCATCCTCTCTGCTGGACAGCAGCATAGTCCTGGCAAGGTTTTGGTGCCTGTCTCTGAGGGGCTGGGGGCTGCAGCTTGTCCCCCCACCCACACAGGGGTGGCAAGTCCCCTGTGTGGATGTTCAGGCTCCAAGCCCCAAGTGAGGGAGGCAAAAAGCCACTCTGTCCATAAGTCTGGCAAAGCTGATTAGCAGCTGCACTGTAAAACCACTCCTGGGACAGGAGCAGCCTGGCAGCCTGTGCCACCAACAGACAGACAGACTGACTGACCTGTGGGGAGGAAGGGACACCAGCACACAACAGAAGCAAAGGAGATGTGAAAAGAAGGAGGAGTTTGCCGAGTCTGAGCTGTTCTTCCTCCCAGGCTCATGGGGAATCACATGAAAACACCCAAATTTGCAGGGGAGTTATCTGTGACCTGGCAGTTGTGCTGCCAACAGTGCCCCCTGACTCCTCGCACACAAGGCTTTGCTGTGTGATTCCCTGCCTCCAGGAACCATTTTTCCCCCATTAGGACTTTTCCCCCTTTCCTTTCCTTTAATACCTCTTGGGAGTGCAAGGGTTAAGGCTGGGACCTGCTGCTGGCTGAGCTCCCCCAGGCTGAGCCCTGGGCTGCAATCCTGGGGATGCTGCTCCGTCCTGTGGATGAGCAGGGCAATGGCAGTGCTGGCTCAGCATCCCTGGGGAAGCACCAGCACCCTCCACCCACTGCTGCAGCTCATTGAGGGGAAACTTGGCAGGAAGAATTAAAAATGGATCAAATAAAACCATTGCTGCTCCCCAGCACACTTACACCCATGGGCAGGGAGCTGGTGTCACGGGGATTTATTTCCCTATTTCTGCAGTTCACATTGAAGGGAGAAAGAGTGAGGGCAATGGTTGGAGGCAGGCAGAGGAACCAGATGAAGCTCTGAGGACTTAAGGCACGTGTCTGGAGCTCTTTCCTGAGGGAGAGCAGGCGGTGTCTTGCACATCAGTGAGGGCCATGCAAAGTCCAAACTGAGCATGAGACCCTGGGTGACAAAGGAGGGAGTAAAGAAGGAGGGCATGGCCCCAGTCTGCAAAGTAGCCTGGGCTGTGACAGGGATTGGGATGGAGACAAGGCTCCTGCAGGCTCAGTGGAGGAACCAGCCAAATGCAGCAGGACTCCTTCACAGCAGGAAATTAAACTGCCCTGCTTGTGCTGGCTCAAAGCTCTCAGTCACTTCAGCTGTGCCAGGCCCAACATAGAAGAAAAAAGGAGACCTTAAATTAGACTTGTCTGGAGCCTGACTCAGAGTGGGAGTTCCTTTCCTGGACTATTATCAAAGGAGCCTGCAGAGACTGGCTCCTTGAGCTGAGCATCCAGACCAGAGGACAAACCCCTGTGATCATCTCTGACAGCCCAGCAGGTGACAGCCTCTCTTCTGAAAAGACCTCCTGCCTCAACATCTCCTACAGGTGATGATCCCACTGCCACCAAAGCTGGCAACACCCACCTTGTTTGAAACACTCTTAGCTCCCTGTGGGACTCTGGGCTGAGTCTGGAGATCCACATGGATGAGGACTGCCATGGGACACTGAGCACCAGGACACCAGGCTGCCATGCTCCACTACCAGCGAGTGCTGGGGCACGGTGGCCTGCACTGTTTGCACTTCATAGACAGACAAATGGAGGCACAGGCAGTTCCCCCCCAACACCCAGAGCTCCTCACCTTCACCAGTGTGGCCACGTAGCACTTGAAGGCAGCCAGCTGTGCTCCCGACAGCGAGGAGGGCCGGGCGGCCTCCACCCGCAGCGAGTAGTGCAGCGCCGACTCCAGGTCGGCCATGTACAGCTTGGAGCTGGGGAGGGCAGCACAACACGAGGCTCCATCAGCCACTAATCCTCACAAACCCCAGGGCTTTTCCCAGCGCCAGCCCCTCGCCCGCCCGGCCCGGATTGCCCAGCAGGGGGAGGCAGGCTCTGACCGGTCGGCTCGCAGGGGATGTGACACACGGTCGCTGTCGTTGAGGCTGCTGGCCGTGGCGTTCAGCTTGTAGGAGCCGCGGGTGATGCCCGTGAGCGTGCGCAGGTAGTAGGTGTAGAAGGAGCGTGCCTCGATGTGCCTGCCAGGAGGGAGAAGCACTAAGTCCCTCGTCCCTCCCAAACCTGACCCCAAGGAGATGAAGGCCTAGCCAAGTGGGTACTTCAGGCTGGGGAGGGAGCAAGGGGTGCTCCATACTCTCCATCTGCCCCAGCAGTGGGCAGAGGTACATCCTAGAGCAGAGCTGAGCCCAGGCAGCCATATCATGCCCCCTCCAGGCAGATGTGGGAAGGGAATGGCTCAGTCACAAGGATTGTCCCGTGTTCCAGCTCCTGCTGGGGCTGGCAGTGCGGTTCAGTGCCCACCAGCAACCTCCCACCAGCCAGTCCCGTTCCTAATGCACCTTCCCACAAGTACAGAGGTGCACAGAGAGATGGGGCCCAAGGCTGGCACCCCAGCAGCACCCCCAGAGCCACCCTGCCATGCCCCACACTCACACAGGCAGGCGGGAGAAGGAGCCGTTGCGGAGGAGGAGGTATCCAGAGGGGAAGGAGGTGACACCAAACTTCTGCACGAGCTCCTCCTCGCTGCTCAGCACCCTCCTCACCGCAATGTTCTCGTACTGCAGCATGTCCAGGGCCACCTGCAAGCCCCAGGGTCAGATGAGGGGGGCAGAGGGATTCCCCAACCCCACCAGGGAGGCAGCAGAGCTGTCCAGTGCCCTGTGTAACATTTGGCACTGGCTAAGCTGTGTGCAAGCTGGGCAGGGAGGCTTCCTGGAGAGAGCTGCCCTGCCACAGGCACCCAGGAGCTATCAGGCAGCGGGCACACAGGCTCCAAGAGAAGTGGGGGATAAATGGAGCTGTACCCACCTCTCTGCCCACGAAGGAGTTGCTCTTCTCAAAGATGAGTGCCAGGTACTGGTCCTTGTTCCTCTGGAAGAAGGTGCGAACCTCCTCGGCACTGCGAGAGACAGGAGCACGGCAGCAGGTGCCCCAGCATCAGCAGCATGCTCTGCCCTCCCCCTCACAAGGAGCTCCAGCCTTGCTCACTGGGATTTGGCAGGGAATGCTGCTGCAGGATCAGCCCCACTGAGCAGGCAGCTCCTCCTGCTGAAGTTTCCAGCCTAGTTTTCTGCTCTGGTTCACAGGCTTTGAGAAAACCCGCTGGGCTTGGCCAAGGAGGTAGAAAACAAAGCACGGGCAGGGCAGGGCAGGAGGGAGCTGTAGGCTCACCCAGGGAAAAAAAACAGCAATGAACTTGAACCAGGGCTGGTTTGTTTTTTCTATGACACAGAGGCACCAGAGTACCTGAGGAAGGTGCCTGGCTCGACCATTGCTCTAGGAAATCCAAAGGCTCCTTCTCAGGACAATGCAGCAACTGCTTGCATCCAGCAAGGACAACTCAGATACCAACAAAATTGTACAGAATCAAGAAAACCCTTTTTCAGGACAGGAAAGACCTTCTAACACAGCCTCACTCAGCATGGTATGACACTGCCATGTCCCAAAGAATTTGAGGTCCAGGAATTGCTTGCTCTAAGTCACACTAGCAGGTTCATTAGGAGATGTAACAACACGGCCCATGGACACAGCTCCACACTGGCCAGGTCATCTCCCTGGGACCTGGGTGATGCAGTAGCTGCTCCTTGCTCATCCTGGGCTCAGGATTTCCCCAGAAACCTGCTCCCCATGGGACAGAGGCCACCCTGGCCCCCTGCTGCCCCTACCTTGCTGGCTCCAGCGGAGGACAGGCGGGTGGCCAGGCATCCTGGCTCTGCTCAAGGTTGGTGATGATGGCGTGGCGCAGGTCCTCCACAGTGGCACTGGGATCTGCAGGGGGACAGGACACCAAGGGGTCAGCCCTGGGGAAGCCAATCCCAGGGGTTGAGCCCAGGGAAGCTGCCTGGAGCTGCCCCCCAGAGCTCCCTGATATTGCAGTGTATGGGAGGTGTGGGCAGCAGGGCCATTCACACCAGGGTAGAAAATCCCATGGCTCTGAATACTCACTGGTAATCCTTATCCCATCCTCTGGCTTCTTGCTAAAAGCTCTGAAGAACTGAAAGGGAAAAAAAATCACAAGGGGAAACTGGAGTGAGTGTTTGGAGTGGGACAGGAGGCAGTGCAACCCAGCAGGATGAGGCTCCCAGCTCTGCCCCAGTTTCCCCACAACACTGTAGCATGCTAAATGACATGAGCCAGCACAGAGGAAGCTCCCAGCCATGTCCCCATCTTTTGGGGCATCCCCCAGAGGGGAAGGATGCAGGCTTGGGCTGAGAGCCATGTTCAGCCAAGGGCTGAGCACTGGCAGGCAGTGGAGCAGGTGTCTCCAGGGACCCCAGGGAGGCAGCTGGAACTTTCCCAGTCCTGCAAACCAGTCTCCCTGCTCCAGAGCTCTGACAAGGTAGGAAAAAGAGAGTTTTTCCACTCCTGGCCTCCCACAGTGGCTCAGCACCCAGGGCAGAGTCAGAGCAGAAACACCAGGTTGCATCAGCCAGGTGTTTGCTTTGCAGGCTGGGCTGGGAGCTGGGACTGTTTGCAAAAGGTGCTCGGCAGGGACACGGGATGTGAAGCAAGTGACATCTTGGCACGGCCACGTCAGCACAATGTCCCTGCCCCAGGAGATGTTTCCATCAGTGTCCCAGGGCAGGGGGCACTCAGTGAGAACCCAGGGCAGGGCTGGGACCACGCCAACCTGTCTGAAAAACCCCAGATCTGACCCCACCTGGAGCTGAGCCTGTAAGCTGGGACTGAAGGCATGTCTGATAAAACCCTCATCCCTGCCCATTCCATCTCAAGGCAATCCTGGTTTAACTGCTGGTTGTGGCACCTGGAGTGCTTTGGCTTCCTTGCTTGTGTTGGAGCACGGCTCCGTTTGCAGCGGGAAGCTCTGCAGAAGCTGTGTTGACACAGCTAAAGGGCTGGGCACACGCCCAGGAGGAGGGGTGGCTCCTTGCCAGCCAGCACAGGAGGCTCCCAGGAGTTCCAACCTCCCGCAGCATCCCTGTGCCCTCCTCCAAAACCTGTGCCTGCAACCTCTCTCTGCCCTCAAGCAGCCTTTCTTAAGTGTTTCCAGTTTGGGATTCAGAGTCTCCCTCATCCTAGCAGAGATCCAGCCCCTGTATTTCACCACAAAACACCGTTTTGGCTTTCCCCCTCCTTGTTGCTCCATCGCTCAGCAGTTGCACCGGCTGCAGCCAGGACACAGCGTTGTTTTGGGGAAGGGTGAAACAGCTTCAGCCTGCAAAGCCCCAAGGGGAGCATTTTGGTGCAATACCCCTGTCAAGCCAATTGAGCAAGACAGGGACAGGCCAGAAGGCAAAGCACAGTGAAGCCCAGCCAGTACCCAGCACACGCAGCCTCACCTTCATGGTGGGGAAGCCGGTTATCCCAAAATCGGAGCACACTTGTTGGTTGTCCTCGTCGGCGCAGTCGATGGCTGCCAGGATCACTGCAGGCCTCCATTCTGTGGGGACAGAGGATGAGGTCAGCACAGCTCAGCACCCCCATGGCCCCAAAAACCACCCTCCTCCCCATGAGTGCTTGTGGAGACAGGAGGGATCTCCAGGGGCTGAGATCCTCCTGTCCAAGAACCACTGCTTGCCCCTCACAAGGGGATCTCCACCAGCAGAGATCCTGTTGTCCAAGAACCACTGCTTGCCCCTCAGAGGACAGTGCCTGATGGTTTCCAAGCCCAAACACCAGGGCTGTGCTCTGTGCTGGTGTGTGGTGCCCTACTTTCCAGGCAGCAGGAACACAGGGAAAGCCGTGTGAGGCGGGAGCCGGCTTTGCACGCCCTGCTCTGCCAGTGCTGGAGCACAGGCAGCTCTACCCAACACTGCCTGCCCGGCTGGTTCTGCCTGTCCAGCCTCTGCCCCAGCTCCCGGGAAGAGGACACCAGGAGAAGGGGAGGGATGGCTAGCCACAGCTCGGGGAGAGCAAGGAACACAGGCTCCAGTTTGTCTCACCCCAGACCAAGAGGCAACAACCCAAAACCAGCAGCCAGGCCAGGGCACTGCAGCAGAGCCTGCCCAGGTTCTCTGCATCCACTCCCTATTTGTGACTCCCCAGTGAAGACCAGCAGGCCCCTGGGGTAAAACACATGAACAAAAAGGGGCATGGAGATATTTTAAGCAGCAGCCTCTGAAAACCAGCAGGAAAATGGAGAATAAAGCTCTGAAATGGCTTATTTATAGTATAGGACACCTTGCCTGTCCTGAGAGTGGGACAGGGAGGGACATGGTGCTGGCACACAGATGGAGCCCATGCTGCCCTAGGCCAGGAGCATGCTGGAGGCAGGGAAACACTGTCCCGTGTCGCAGCTGACGGGACAGGTGAGCTGCTTCCCACTGCCCTGGCACTTGTGGCACAGGAGAGCCGGTGACGAGCCCTGCTGCAGGGAGCCAGGCATGTTCCCATACTCATCTGCACGTGGTGTCCACAGGTCACCCCAGCATCCTCCCCGTCCAGCCCACTCCTACGAACATCCACCCGCGGGAATGGCAGCGAGGCTGCTGAGCAGCACGGGGGTGGCTTCCCCGCCCCGCCTCCATGGGCACACCATCCTCGCTCGGCCTCCGGAGCAGGGAGCCCTGGGGGAGCCCTCTTTTGGAGAGGGGCCAGGAGAGCCGGCATTGCCCCGCGGGGCCCGGGCACGCACCCCATTCCTCACATCCTGCCCGCTGGGGAGCTCTGACGGCATGCCCAGGGAGGGACGGCATCCCCTCGGAGGGACGGGATGCCCGGCCGGCCGCCTGACTCATGCGGCAGCCAGCGCGCTGTATCAATTAGTGCAACAACAGGGAGAGCCCCGGGATGCCGGGGGAGGCAGGATGAGTCCCGGCAGGACGAGGGGCCCAGCAGCGGGGTGTGCGGGTCCCCAGGCGCGGCTGGCACCGGCCAGGCCGGGCATCAAGGTCAAAGCCGGGAACAAACCAGCTGGGATCAGCGCCCAGCAACCTGCCGGCCCTATCTCTGCTGGCACCGGAAAGTCTGGGGGACAGCGGGACACCCCCGATGCCTGGGCAGGCTCAGCCTGAGCTTCTCCCTGCCAAAGGGGATGCAGGGATGCTGCTGAGCCAGGCCTGGGTGTGGTGCGGGGGAAACCTGGACACCGGGAAGGAGCAGGGCCTTCCCACCCGGCTGACGTTCCAGGGAGGCTGGAGCAGGGCCGCGGGGGGATCTCGGGCGGCTGACAGAGGGTAGGGCAGAGCGGATTGAGGGACGGCGCTGGGAAAGACACGGGAGGTAGGGATGCTCACGGGAACGAGGATGCAGAGCCCGGGATGCAGGGAGGATTTAAGGGCGCGGGCAGAGAGGAGGAGGAGGAGGACGGGCAAGGACGCAGGAGGGACTGCAGGATGCTCCCGGTCTTGGGGGAAGCGGGACCCCTGCGCAGGGACACAGGGAGGACGATTTAGGGGTGCTGAGATGAACAGAGGCGCAGGGGAATTTGACAGTGCCGGGGCAGAGACAGCGGGTGCTGACGGAAGAGAACAGAGACAGGGATAAGGGGTGGGGGGTAACAAGGTCAAGGGCACGGGGGGATCGCGGAGCCGATGGGGAGGGCAGGCAGGGATGAGGGGAAGGGGGGCCAGCGCGGCCGGGGACTCACCGCGGATGTCGTGGGCCAGGGCCCGCCATGTGGGCGCGAAGTGGATGCAGTGCCCGCACCAAGAGGCGAAGAACTCGACGGCCCAAGCGCTGCTGGAGCCTAGCAGCCGCCCCTCCGCCTCCGGCCCCAGCAGATCCAGGGGGTCAGAGGCCGAATAGAGGCGGCCGGGCCGCGCCGCGGGCACCCGGAGCAGCAGGAAAAGCAGCAGGAGGGGCGGGAGAGCCGCCGGCCCCCCGCGGCCCCCGGCCCGCGCCCGCCGCCGCCACATCGCCCGCCAGGCCGGCCGGCACCGCCCGGAGCCGCCTTTAGCGCCCGGAGCCTCCCGTAGCACCGCCCCCGGGGCGGGGCCGGCGCCGGGGCCGGGGCTGGGGCGGGGCCGGCGCGGGGAAGCCCCAGAGCGGCCGCGGGCACGAACGCGCGGCCGCAGCCCCGGCACCGGCCCGCGGTAGGCCTGCAGCCCCCTCACAGCGTGGGGAGGAGCCCAGCACTGCCCCCCCACCCTTTGCTGCAGTGTTACCCTTCCATCAGGGGACAAACGGCATGAAATGATACAATTCTGATAAAGTGAGGACTGCCCAGCGAGGTGGAGCAGTCATGGCTCCTGGAGGTGTTTTAAGGAAAGGGTGGACATGGCTCTGAGTGACACGGTCTGGTTGGCAGGGTGGTGTTCGGCCCAGCCAACCTAAATGAATCTGTGATGGTGCAATGGTGAAGGCAGCTGATTCAGCCCCAAAATGCATTTTGTCACCAACACGAGCACCCCGAGGGCAGTGCCCTGGTCAGATACCCTGACATCAGCCAGCGTCACTGGGCACCACCTGGACACCCTGTGGAATGGACACCCTGCAGACATCCCTGCCCTGTCCCCAAACCTACCAGCAATACTCAGCAAGGATATCCTGTGACACCCACAAAATCCAGTTCTCCATCTCAAAAAAGCAGCCTTCTACCCCCAGTGGCCCCTTCAATGGAATGTCTTCAAACTGAGAGTTAGATTAGATATTAGGGAGAAAAAACCAAACTTCCCTGTGAGGGCGGTGAGGCCCTGGCACAGGTTGCCCAGAGGATGCCCCATTCCTGGAAGCGTTCAGGGCCAGGCTGGATGGAACTTGGAGCAACCTGTGGTAGTGGAAGGGTCGGCAGGATGACAGAACTAGATGTTCTTTAAGATCCTTTCCAGCCCAGGCCATTCCAGGATTCCGTGATTCCATCCTCCCGGCCAGGCCAGGCCGTGCCCTCGCTCACGCACGCACACACGTCACCGGCTCCCAGCCCCAGACGGAAGGTGCCCGTTGCTCAGTGCCCCGGGGCAGAGCCAGGCACTGCCAGGGTGGACACAGCCCCAAAATCCAGCCCTCCGCTCCCTCCCCAGCCCCTGAGGCCAGGGAACCTCCGGGAGTTGGGGTGCCCATGGCTGCTGAGGGCTTGTTGCTGGCTCTGTCCCCAGGAAGGCCATTATCCATGCTGGGCCCCACCTAGGCATTTCAGGCAGACTTGCCATGCTAGAAAAACAAGCCTGCCAGAGCCCGGGCTCGCCGAGGCAGTGGAGGGCAGGGGCTCCACACGGGGCACAGCTCCAGGAAACCACAGGGCTCCCTGACACAGGCTGGCCTGGGGGGACACAGCATGGTAGACACAACCCAGGGGATTGCTCCCACCCATCTTCTGTGGGTCCAGGCTGATGGGAATGGGGCTGAAGATGTCTTGCTCCAGCCCTGCCAGCTGTAATTAAGTCCTTAAGGGATTATCACGCCTCACTGTCTAACCAGGAGGCAGAGAGACACAGCCTAGCCTGTGCAGGGCTGCTCTCAAAGGTGGTACCTCACTACTCACAGGGAGAGGCTTTGCCAGGACTTGTCCTCATCCAGCTGGTGATTAAAATGCAAAAATCCCTGTGTTCAGGGAGATCACCACCGTTATCTTCCCCCTAGGTTAAAGCCTTATTTTAAGGGCTCATCAGCTTGATTAGGTTGTCAAGGCAAAGGAGAGGTGCTCAGTGCTAGCATAATTGCCAGCATCCTCCCCATCCAGCTCACCCCTTCCTCCCAGGCAGCCCAAATTCCTTGAATCCTTTTTTTAGATGTAAAAGCAAGGTGAAGGGGCAAGAGCCCACAGCCCAGCCCGGGGCTCCAGCTCTTTTGGAGGTGAGCCATGCCATTGCTCATCCCCTGAGCCCTGGGGTGGGGATGCTCCTGCTTCCTGCTGCCCTGGGAACAGCTGGGCTGCTACCCACGACCCTACTGCCCAGCTGGCACGTCCCATCCCCAAGGCTCCCCAGGTAATAGCCTCCTTCAGCAGCAGGGTGTGGAGTTTTCCAGGCACAGACTTGCCCAAAAATCCTTTTTTTCCTTTGAATGCTGCTGCAAAGCAAGAGATGAGGCTTTTCTTGCACCTCACACTGGGAAGAGACATATTTTCATTGCAGAACACCCTGACATAGGGCATGGCCTGTGAAGCCAAAGATGAAGCAGAGGCTTTGAAACAACTCTTTTTTTAAAGTTGGATTTGAAAGCAACTAAGATGAAATAACAGCAGTCAAGAAGCAGTAGAAGTCTGGGGAGGTTTTAGAAATGCTCCCAGTGCCCTCTGCCTTTTTGTCTTCTCTGGCTGCCAATGGAACCTGCAGGTAGCCAAACCAGGACACAGGTGCTGGGTGATGCTGGATGCTCACCTGCTGAGCCCCAGCCAGCCCTGAAAGGTCAGCTTTAGGCTCCCACTGCACATTTAGGAACCTGCTTGATTTTCACAGCAAAGCCTTCAGTGCCTACCTGAGCATCATTAACTTTGGGGAGAGTTGTGCTTCACTCCATAGCAAGGCCACAGAGATTCTTGTGCACAATCTCCGTGCAGCAGCTGAGCAGTGGCTTTAGTTCATTAAGCCCTGAAATCTCCTTTCCCAGACTAACACCCAGCAGGAATCTCCTTGAAGTCAGCGAGGCGTGGGCAACATCAACAGGCTGAGAACCTCAAAAGGCGGCCACAATCTCACCGAAATAATTTAAGCCCTGCAGAACTTGTTTCATGCACCTAAAATGGATCATTTTCAGACACAAAGCTACTCAGATCACCTCTGTGCTGGGTTAGAGAGGAGACAAGGAAAGAGTGGTTGGATTTTATGTGTTCAGCCCTTGAAGCGATGAAAAAGACTAAATTTCATAAAATGGACAAAGACTTTGATTGTCTATTTTTATAAGCATGAATCTGTCTATAAAATGTTCCGAATGGCCAGGTGAGCAGACCCAGGACCTCCTCATTCCTCTTTAGTTGTGAAGGTTCAGGGCCACAGGTTGATCCTGAAATGGACTTTCTTCCTTGAAAATTAGAGAACACGTTCCTACCTAATTGTGTGATTCCAGGAACTGACTCCAAGGAAAACACGCAACCAATGCAAGACTCATGATACAATCACGGCAACCCCGTCACTGGCATTTCGGAGCCTGCTCCAAGAGCTTTGCATCCAACACCCTGCAAGCACCTTGGAAACACCAGCTGCAGAGGAAGCTCAGCAGTTTTCCTTTCTCCAGACTTCACAGGAGGATGAACTCAAGGAAGTCCTCTTTGATCTGCAGCACAGCACTGCTTAAATCGTGGTCCTTCTGTGAATAAAAAGCTTCGCTTCCCTCAGAGAGCGATGGAAAATTGTGTCACCTGCCACCTCCCTGACATTCCAATCCAGGTGGCACTTTTTCCTTGGTGGTGGCACAAGTCACACCTCAGCTGAGACATGGCTTCAGATGAGACCTTTGGCAGCACCTGTGCCACAAACCTGCCAGCTTTGCTGAGACACCCAGAGGGGATGTGAATCCCAACTGCGTCCCACACTCTGCATTGGCTCTGACACCTGTGAAGACCAGGATGGCCCCTCAAAGCCCCACTGGCAGCTGGGAATTGCTGACTCCACGAGACAGGCTTGGTCGGAAATCGTTGATTTCTACCTTTCAAGCCCAACCAGCCTGTTAATGACAAGAGGCACAAAAGCAAATCTGGGGTGCATTCTCAGGATGTGATGAATGTGTTCACGTAGTTTGCATCTGCAGAGAGAACACAGCAGTACCAGCCTCCTGCTATTCACCCTCTGCTGATTCATCCCTGCTCCAAAGGACAGCAGCCACGCTGGCCTTGCTCTTTTCAGAGAGACCAGGAGGAACTGGCACTGTCATTGGTATGTCTGGGTAGGAAACGTTTTACCTGCAAATTTCACATCTGCTAACAGTCATCAATGATTACCATGACCCAGGCTGCACAGAGCACATGTTTTCCAGTCCAGCTCATGTTCCCAGCTTTAAGGAGCAGATTGGAGGAGGCCACACCGCCCAGATTTGCCACATCATTATTTGGCAGGTGGTGTAATTGCAGTGCATGAAACTGGGAATGCCACAGGGATGACAACGGAGCACTCCTCTCTTGCTCTGACAGTAGTCCTGCAACGTAAGCAAGGTCTCACCTTCCAAGGACTGCTGTGCCCAATCACAGTTCCCTAAGCAGTGCTGGCTCCATCAGCCCTTGGAGCAATGCAGCAGACACAGGCTCTGGACCAGGCTCCTTGCTGAGCTCCCCAAGCCAAGCCATGTGAACAGTGGGATCCCCTGCAGCCTCCTTTATTTTGCTGGAATAAAATCAAATTGTAGCTGTGACACCCCCTCCAGAAGTGGTGTTACTTCCACCTCCAGCAAATTCTCAGACAAAATCTGAGTTAGAGTCAGTCTAGACTTCATGCAAGAGGAAGCCACTGGAAACCCACATCAGGGAGGGAACACAGCCCAAGGGACACAGCAGGTCTTGTACAGGTGGAGCAAAGGGCTGGAAAACTGGGGCCAAGAGAAACATTCAGAGCAGGAGCTAACCACCTGCTCCAGGCCATCAGCACTCTTGGCAGGCAAAGAAGGTATCTGTTCTCCTCTATGCCCCTGAACCTGGCCAACCATCACCCTCCTGAACAGAGCTACTCTATTCTCCTCCTTTTCCCCCAATTTCTGCAGGACCTTATTCAGGAGGAGGCAGGAGGGTACAGAGCTGGGGCTAGGAGTTTTGTTTGCTCCAGTTTCCAGGTCTCACAGGGTGCCTTTCCCTCCCCCACAGGACCGGCATCCCGGAGCGCCCTACACTTTCAAACTCCATTACATCTCATCTGCATTCCTGCCAGGCAATGGCCCGTGCTCCGGGCTGGGTGCCAGCAGCTGGGCAGCCCCCCTGCTCTCCTTCCTGCACTCTTAAGAGCTGCTGGTGTTCAGCAGCTCCCCACCAACTCCTTTTCTTCTCAGGGCTGTGTTAATGAGAGCCTGGACATTGCAGAAGC